TCAGTTCTGCAACAAATATACGCTCTCGGTGAGTCTTTTCAAGTCCGTTCAATTCGGAAATTTGTATCGTAAATTGCACAACAGAAACTTAAGGAATTAAATGAGAAAAGGCCGCATGAAATCCCCTTGTGTCTTGTTGGAGTATATGATCCGAATTTAGTTTTTGCGGAGGAAAGACCAGATTTTCACACGCCATTGCAGCAAACAAACGAGCAAACTCTCACAACTTCAACACAAAATATTTGAATTTACTTATAATTACTTTCCTCGCCGATTACTTAATGAAAAAAGGTAAATCTTCGTACACAAATTAATCGTCGATGAGAGTGAATAATACTTTCCGTAAGATCATTGACTGTTTAAGAAGAAAACAATGTGGTGATAGTCCTTGCCAAACTAGTTTCGTTGTTTTTTACAAATTTACATGCGCTTTTTTCTTTTCTTACGCGCTCTCTAATTGAAAGGTGTCAGATTGTGACAGATACTTGTATAATAACGTTTCAAAGTTTGTTTGGAAGCTTTTTAAATCACTTTTATCATTACGCAAATGAAAATGTTCTCCCCCACTATTCAGTTTATGGAAGATTTTGCTGTATTTACAGTCCTAAATCATTCGGGTTCTTTCGGAATGAATTTCGTCAAGTTTAAAAAAAATAAATATGTCATTTACCGGCTAAGGGTCGGTCCGTATGGTGAAAAACTGTGACCTCGGCCTTGAAAATGTTGCCCTCGGCCTACGGTCTCGGGCAGCATTTTCAAGATCTAGGTCACAGTTTTTCACCATAAGGACCTCCCAGCCGGCAAATAACATGTTTATCTCTGGGTACTTGGCCTTGAGCAAGAGCAGATCCAGTAGTTACCTTACCTTGAGATGAATCCTGGACGCTGTTCTCCCGCTTCGTAAGAGCACGGAGTGAATATGGATATTGCTATACACGTATCTAATCTTTTATAACAGACAATCACTGCTAATTAGCACAATTAATGCCTGATGGTATCTAATAGTTTCGTACCGAGGGAACTTTCGTACTCAGGCAATTCGAACCTAACTTAAAATTCGTAACCAGCGAAGATAAATATTGATTGTGCAGGTAAATCAAGTTTGTAAAATAATGAGGCAGCATATACATGCATATCATTTATTTACACCCGAATTTCAGAGTAGCCACGTGAAACTAGCTTATATTTTAGAGAAATAATAATAAAATAATTAATAAACGTTATCAAAAACGAAACAATGTGAAGAAAAAAAATATTTATATGCATATGTATTTACAAATATAAAAGACTGATGGCTATTCACCCATTTTCAAAAAAGCTTCAATTAGAAATATAAAGCCTTCTTGGCATACTTACTTTGAATTTGAACAGAATTTAGCAGCAATTAGCAATTCTATCTTTATTCGAAGCCGCATCAATGAAATAGCGCCGACATTGTCTTTTCTTTCAGTTCAAGTCAAATTTTTTCTAACAAAATCAACAGCTTACGAAACCGGAAGAAATTCAGTTCCAACGGAAGTTTCATTACCCATGTTTTGTTTGATGGGGGAAAAAAGGTTTTTTTGGAGAACTTGAATGTGACAGATTAATATTTAAAAGAAAATT